GGCCGTGGCCTTCTCGCCGGACGGCAAGGTGGTAGCGTCGGCGTCGGACGACAGCACGGTCAAGCTATGGGACGCCGGATCGGGAACGGCCCTGCAGACGTTCCCTGTAGACGCTGTTATTCAGACCCTTTCGTTCTCCAATGATGGGACATCCCTCTGGACTGAAAGAGGACAGCTGCACGACGCAATTCTTTCCCACGGTTTAGCTGTTTCCGAATCAATCCGTTCATGGGATATATTCGTGAAACAGCAATGGATAAGCTGGGGCATGAACAACATGCTTTGGCTTCCTTCCGAATATCGGCAGTGTTGCGTTGATATTCACAGCAACGTTGTTGCTTTCGGATTTAGGTCTGGTCGCGTGACAGTCATGGCATTCGACTTTGAATCTTACTAGACCTCCACCCCACCCACCTCCGTTGTGGTCGACATTACTTTATACTCTCTCGAAAGTGGCGAGAGCGGCAATGCTTATGTTGCTGCGCTCACGTAGCTCATTACCAAGCCCTGAATGGGGTTAGTTTCTCCGAACCTTAGGCCCGTCTCACTTTATTTCGCCTCAGTGGCGATGCTCGGAAACTTAGTTTCACAAGGGGGGTCACATTACCGCAGACCGTGAACAATGAGCGGCAACGATGCCTAGGGATGCAAGCGGGCTTCCGGGCACTCCTCAGGAGCGATGACTTCTGACGTGGTGTTGGTGTCACAAGAAGTTATATCTACCCCTCTCCTAGTCTCCTAGGAGGGGCGTCCCTTTTTGAGGATTTAGTGTAGTTGGTTAGATTCGACAGTTGGGCCCTTACTTTCCGCCTGATATGTAGTACACCCAACCGACGGTGCACAACATGCGTCGGCAGCCAGGGCCAGCTACAGCAAATCATGGGCTATGTCGATGGCGGCAATTACCAGTATTACATCAACCAGCGGGTGAACCTCGATATACAGGCTGTATTCCTTAATGTCCCCTCGAATAAGCAGTTATTGAGGCCATCACGCACCTCAGCGCCTATCGCGACCATCGTGCGCCCACCAACCTTCCCGACCACAAAAAGGGCACCCTCCTACAGACACCCTAGTTCCGAGAGGCTGTTGAACTTCGGGACAAACTTCGAAGGGGATTCCGGCAGATGTACGACACCGTGCAACGTTCGAAGGCAACCCAGCGGACGATCCGTTCGTTCAGTAATTCGAACAAACATAAAAACGCGTGAACTCCGTCCGACAAGCAAATTTTAAGAAGCTCTGGTCCAGCATGGGGCTGGTTACTTTCGACACCGAGATACCAACCAAACTCTCGGTCGCGGTACATCCCCTCGTGGAGGCCGTTAGAACGGCGATAGTCGCCGGCTTCTCCGATCCCGCTATCAGCGACCTACACGGATTTTGGAACGGATAGAGTTTCTGAAATAGATGGTACGTCTTGGCGGTATCATGGAATGCCAGCGGCGAGGTCGCACCCTCGGCCAAGAAAAAGCCGAAGAGGAAGACTATGTTGCGCCGGAAGGCCCAAATCCGGAACGGGGGCCACTGACTGAGCCCACGCCAGTACTGCCGATCTAAAACATCTTCTGCCTCACATATGCAGGATATATATCGCATGACGGCGATCTACGAATCCTCTACGGTGCAGAAAATGAGGGATCATGTCCGAGTAAGCCATTCTCGCTTGAAGAGCTCTTGTGTCCTGATCCCTACTGCAACGTGGTTATCCATAGTGAGATGCTCCTTCAAAGCCCCATCGCACGAGTCCATGCCATCAGCTTATACGGTGAGTTGCGCGAGGTGTGCGACATACATTAGGATAGTTAGCCAAAAACTATCTTTATGCTTGCAGTGTTAATCTACAATAATAACTTGCCATGAAATCGCTGTAACAACTTCGGGTCAGAGTTCCGGCCATCGACATCAAATACCCCCTTAAATAGTACTCATTTTCAACATGAACTCTCTCCCTTACTTTTCTCAATCAATATCTTCCGCTCCAGTTCGAACATACCCCCTGACTACGCACTGAGACAGCGATATAGTCTTCTAGACACATACGCTTCGAACTATTGGCAGCTATCTCTCATATTTGCTAGTATCCTTTGCTATCTAATCCTAGGACATCCCGCAATATCCAGACTCTTTTGATCTTTCTCTTCCTTTCAAACTCTGCTGTTCCTAATCAGAGTCACATACCAACACTGCGCTAGGAGCATATTCTCTGGACCAGTAGTCTACATAGTAGATCTGGCCTCATCCTCATATCGAGTTACGAAATGTGGCGTACTATGGAAGAATTGTACCGTTGTGGACAATATAGGACACGTGTACCAGACCATTGCGCGAATGCCATCTTCAATCGGAATACCAACTGGTGGAGTATGTGCAAGAATCAGGGCAAGACAGTAAGTAACCAACTTCAGGCACTGTGCGGAAAAAAGAATCGCCCGAACTTTCAGCATGGCGGATACTGGAGGTGCTGTAAATGTGATCAGCGGCCGAACAGGGCTGGAATGTGCGTCTGTAGTACCGACCATGTTCCCTGCTTGCATACATGCTGCTGGAACGACTCACCTTTCAAGCCTCAGCGGTATGTTAGTATAAAGCCTCCCTAACTCTAATTACAATGCACTAATAGCCTTTTGGTAGTTGCGGGGTTGTGTCAAGGTTGTGGACGTAGACAGTTCCACTGTGTGTAAGAACTGAGGCGTGATGACTGAAGACACTGAACCTCGCCTAATCTTCTTGATCGGTAGTGTGAGCAGGAGACTAATCTCACGGTAGAATTCTAGCTCGATACATGGCATGAGGCCTTACTGGATATGCAACCGGAGTAAACATCACTAGGATAGAGCAGAGGTCATATCCCGGATGGATCCACACGTATCTTTACATATTTCCTACAATTATTCTAAGCACCTGAACGTCATTACTGCGGCACCTTACCAGCTTGTCGTTCCAGTCCTTAGAATTAACATAATCGATGAAAACCTTGCCCGGTGGCAACCATATTGCCCACAGTAGTTTCGTGCACCCATATCTTCAGTGCCACCAGTGGTGCATCGCTGGCAATCTAGGCTATTTATCGTCAGGTTCGTAGATGACCTTAGGCAAAGAAAGATGTTCTAGATTGGTAACGCATCATATACGGCCGCATTTTGATACCGTCGAAACCTGGAAGTTTTCAGCTTTACCAGCCCAGGCTGCTGCTGCCCTTGAATATGCAGCTCGGTTCGAGCCAAATGTTCTAGGTGAGACCACACCTCTTGCCATAGTGCATATATCTCTGATTTTGTAATATCTGGTTGTGTAATATGCGGTATTGTGTTTGAAGGTCTAGAAATGTAATATCCCTTTCCCTAAGCACTGCAAAAGAATGGAGTATCGCCGCCGATTCCTTTCAGTGTCCAGCTGGGCGAGTTCTAGGATAACAGTAGCAAACTTGCCAGCTATCTGTGTGTACTTCTCTTCGTACCTTATGATACTCGAAAGTTATTGTTGCACCACCTTTGGTTGTAGAAATGATGGACGTCGTAAAGAAAAGGGGGAATGGGCTAGGGGATATGTGACTAGAATTACCATCACCCTTTTCTCGCCCTTCTTACCCTTAATGGACAGGTGAACATTACAAACTGGTCAAAGCCAATCAGGCTCCGAACATGACAATTGATCATCCGATTTTTTGCGAAGATATATCCCATGGATTGTACAAAGATCGATAACCATAGTAGCTGGAATTGTCTATCTGATGACCGATCATGCCTGTGGCGTCAGATTGGTCTGGCCATGAAGTGTGGCTGAGCGATTGCGGGACAAATTGGTGGGACAAACAGAATTGGTGGGACAGTGGGAACTGGGATGGATCAAGTCATCGCCCGCTTGGCTGTGTTGCGGCCTCACTTTCTACCAACTATATCGCCAATTCTCCACTGCCACTATCCGTCCCCGACATTGTATATGCCGATGTCCTGTCCAAGCCGATGACCCTGATGTATGTGCTCCTTCCACCGCCTGTCACTCTGTAAGGACGGGATCGCCGGACGCTGACCTCCACCACCCAGTACGCAGACTGTGACCTCCAATTGATCATGTACCAGCCTCGATAAGCGAGACCCCTCAGGACATCAAGGCCTCGAAAATTACAGTTCATACCTATTGATACCCATCTACACCCGAAGAGATTGGGATCCTCGAGCTGCCGGCGCAGTTGCGACATCCACCCACCGAGTCCGAAAGAGTCTACTAGCGTCTCGCTCCACCGGTATACGAACGAGGGGTGCGCAGTGGAAGTGTCCCGACTTCCAAACCGCCGACGAATTATTCACATACCTGTTCGAGGAAGGTGAACTTCCAAAGAAGATGGAGCGCCATATTGGACTCTGATTCGCCGCTGGTCATATCATAGAAAGAACCTGAACGCTCAAAGGCTTCCACTCCACAAGCTGCACACGACAATTTCTATACGTTCGTTTACTCAACACGGCTCCACAACCCACGCAGACCTATTATTACGTACTTGAGGCCTTCATATCCCTATCTGCAAATCATAGGAAAGGATCCCAAAATGTCCTCTTCATCCCAAATCGCCGAAACATGGATCTCCTCCTTCTGCAGCATCCTCGGCCACGAGTACTTCGCCGAAGTGTCCGAAGACTTCATCGAAGATGACTTCAACCTCACCGGCCTACAGTCGCAAGTCCCGATGTACAAAGAGGCCCTCGAAATGATCCTCGATGTCGAACCCGAAGACGACGACGACGACCTCACCGACGAAGAAGACATCTCCGTCTCCGACGACATGCTTGACAACGGCGACCGCGGCGCTGCCAAACCCGACGACCCCTATCGACGAAGTAGCGCCTCCCGACGCCACCAGCACATGCGCCTCGCCTCCGACCTTTCCGTGATCGAAGCCTCCGCCGAGCTCCTCTACGGCCTCATCCACCAACGCTACATTACCTCGCGCCCCGGCATCCAACAAATGGCCGAAAAATACGAACTCCAGCATTTCGGCGTGTGTCCCCGCGTGCACTGCGCCGCCGCCAAGGTGCTCCCCGTCGGCACCTCGGACACCCCCGGCGTCGACACCGTCAAGCTGTTCTGTCCCTCCTGCCTCGACATCTACACGCCGCCCAACTCCCGCTTCCAGAGCGTCGACGGCGCGTACTTCGGCACCACGTTCGGGTGCCTGTTTTTCATGACCTACCCGGAGGTCGAAGTCGGGAAGATGCTGCGCGTGCCACCCGTGCTACCCGCAGGTTTGTCGAATCACATATCTCGCATCGGATGAACAGCCGCTAACACCATCGCAGGAAACGGCGGAGCCGCCGACCCAGCGAACTTGTCGAGTGGAAACTGGCTCGCATCCCAAGAACCCACGCAAATCAACGGTATCGCTGCCTCGAACCTCGCGCCGGGGCTCGGCCCGGGCAAGACGTACTCCCCGCGCATCTACGGCTTCCGGGTCTCAGAGCGCTCGCGCGCCGGCCCACGGATGACATGGCTGCGGTCCCGGCCGACGGACCTCAGCGAGCTGGACGAGGTGGCGGTGTATATCCGCGACGACAGCGAGGAGGAGGGGAGCGAGATCGAGGAAGATGAGGGGGGGTATGAGGAGGGGGTGGATGCAGGGGCGGGGGACGATGTGATGGAGGATGGGGGAGTGAGGAGTGTGGTGGGGGCGGGGTTGGAGGGGAAGGGGACGGGGAAGCGGAGGAATGATAGTGGGAGGGCAAATGGTGATGTGGTAAGTCTACGGGACGCGAATGGGACGGGCGACGTCGGCTGAAACAGGGTTGTTGTCTGTGACAAGCGCAGTGATCTGACCGATCCCGGGATCTTGGTAGCGGGCGTACGGAATGTGCACTTGATAGCATCAGGCTAACCGAACCCGGTCGGGGAAAAAGCAGAGGCGGAAGCGGCGGTAGGGGGGTTTTGGAGTACGATGGGTACTGGAATTCGGGGATGGGGAGGGATGGATGGGGATCGTGAGGGAAGGTTCACGTTGCATATTCAGGGTGTTGGAGGAGTGGATTTTGCTGTCTTTTCAAATGCAATGTTCTACACCCCCCCCCAAGATCATCATGGTTTCTATTTTCGGTACCTGTTCCTTCGCACTGGGTGTCTCGTCGAGTCAGGGGGTTCCAGGTAGAAGACGACATTCCAATTCGAACAGCACAGTAATTACTGTTAACCTACACTTGGTGGACATATGGATAAAAGGGGTATGGAATCCTGCAAGAGAAAAGGGAAATAATCCACACGCCCATAACCGAACCTCCTGTCCGACCTGGCGTACCAACTCGGTTTCGCCCCAGAAAACATGACTGCCAGAGAGCATTGCACCGTACTAATACTTTACATAGAGTGGATCACCGAGTTCCTCAGAGCGTTGAAGCAAGACGAGACCTTTACTCTGAGCCTGAGGCACCTGCTTTAGTGGGTTTCGCCGGCCGCGGGTGTCCGTATGTCTGCTTGTATTCACGCTCGTACCGCGCCACCTCACCGGCCTGCATGTCAGTGTATATCTACACCGCGATTAGCTTCTGCCCACGACATGCACGGGGATTCACCGAGCATACCTTCTTCTCCGCCTCCCCCAGCGCCTTCCACTCGCCCGCTACCAACTTCATCGCCTCACTCGGTGCAATCCCCTTCAAATCCCCGCTCTCCCATCGCTGCTTGGTGTATAGGATTAGCGCGTTCAGCGGCTGCTTGACCTGTCGCTCATCCTTGATCGGGCGGACCAGCTTGGCAGAGTGGGCCGTCCCCGTCTTGCCGCTCTTGGCGCGGTGGTTGAGGGACTTGCGCGCGATGTTCGCAAGGCGGATCTGCTCGGGGGTGTGCGATTGGACCCAGGCGTCGTAGGCGCGGTCGTTAGCGACGCGGTTGGCGTTGGCGAGAGAGTTGTAGTGCTATGGGGGTTAGGTATGGGGCCATATGCGACATGGTGAGAAGCGGGGGTGGACATACCTCCGTTTCCGCCGCCGTGAGTTGCTTGAACGCCTGCGCCGCCGCCGTGGCCACCTCGGTGATATTCCCGCCCTTCGGCGCCTGCTCCTTCAGGTAGATCGTCCAGGCGCGTTCGTTCTTCCGCGGCGGTTCGGTCGCCAGGAGGGCGGCGTCCCGCAGGGTCTTGATCTCCTCGCGCTGGCCCTTCGACTCCTTGGCGGCCTGCTGCTCCTCGGTCAGGACCTTCTTCTTCGGCTTTTTCGGCGCGGTTTTCTTCCCCGACGACTTGGGTTTGGCCTTGCGGATGGTGGTCTTGGACGTGGAGATCGTGGTCTTCTTCGCCGATGTGGAGGCGGCGGGGGTGAGCTGGGGGAGGGTGGTTGAGAATGCGCGGCGCGACGCGGAGAGGAAGGGGACAGGCAACGAGGACTTCGGCTGGGAGTGTTTATCCGTGGCACACGACAGCTGTCGAAGCTGACACGCCAATCGCGCCACGTCGCTGGTCCGTTGATGTGCAGCGAAGGTCACCCTTCGAGTGACGGCGTGACGAAACATGGTTGATACCCCTCTTAAACTGTAAACAAGCGGAACTCTGAGAAAGCAACAGCTGAAAGGCGAAGTGAACGAGGGATGGAATTGGCTAGATTCTAGTTTAGATCAAACGAGAGTACTACCAGTGAGAAGTGACTGAGTGAGGTCAATGTTTGGGGGGGTGGTGGTGAAATGGGGGAGGTCGGGGGTGAGATTGATTGACTGATGGAGCTTAAATCGAAGGGGACGAGCGCCAAGACAATTGGAGACGCGGAGAGGAACGCGCTAAACTGTAAATGGACAAGCGCCTAACAGCACAGTCCCGCGCGGCAAGCGCTTGTGGACCGACATTCAAGCTGCAGCGACGACGCAAGAGCTCCTGCCTAAACATCCTGAGTTCAACATCTACATCACCATCACACACTGCCTTTCAAGCTTCAACCAACTGTGAATTCACCAGGGAAACCATCTACACTTATAGAAGATCATCAGAATACAAACATACAAAATGGTAAGACCCAGCAACACCATCCTCCTCCCACCCCATCCTCATCCCCATCACCGAACCCCAAACTAACCACCACAGTCTCTCCGCTTCATCCCCTCATCCTCTAACGCAACCCAAACCCCCAACCACCCATCCGCCCCTTCAGCCCCCGGCGTCCCCGACACCCTCCGCGGCCACCTCGACCTCACCGCGACCCTCACCCCCTCATCCACCTCCTCGAAACCCGCCGCCACCGCGACGCCCACCCCCATCACCTCCCATCCGCTCGAAGCCCGCCTGATGCAGTGGCGCGCGACGCAGGACGCCTTGAAGATGGAGACGCTGCGCCGGGTGTACGGGATCGCGGAGCCGGTGAAGCGCGGGATGGAGCTACAAATTGTCGGAGCGGGCGAGTGGGCGCCGGCGATGGTGGGAGGGACGGCGGCGGTGCATCGGGAGGTGTTGGAGGGGAGGGAGATGGATGTGGCATGGGAGGATGTGTTTGTTGGTAAGTGCTTGGATGAGGATGGGTTGGGGGATGCGGCTAACGATGATTAGGGAATGAGACGAGAGAGGTGCCGGATTTCCATTCGGAGATGGAGGGGAACTTTAAGATGAATTGGTAGATGGAAGGAAAGAAGGCTGCGAGAATTAATGGACGTTCGACTACAAGTTTGCTATAACAGTTTCTATGCGTCAATACCCAGTCCAACCTCGATTCTTCATATCTGGCTGGCGAATCAATACATACCCTCCAACCTATCAGCTTATCATCTACGGTTTGAGTCGAACTCGATTATTCCACACCGCCCAGTCGAAACGGCGAAGAGAAATCTGATGTATTCTGGCTCGCCACTCTATTTGCACATGAACGAACACCTTGCATCCCTTCACATGACCATACTGTATACACAAGCTGTGCCAATGCATCAACATGAAGGAGATATCGCCTGGCCACTGCAACCAAACCCCATACCGCAAAATCATCGACAGGGGGAAGAACCCCAACCGATCAACGTCCACCGGAAAACGAAAGCGCCCAACTCCCCCAATGGCCTCATATGTGCTGCGTTGCCGACCTGAAATGCGGTAGAAACGGGGAAATCGATGGAGGAAGAGGATGAGTTGAAGGAGGGTTTCGCGAAGGAGGGTTGCGGTTGGTAGGAAGCCGCTGTGGGGCCGAGAGATTAACAAGTGAAATTAATGAGAGTAAGGTGTAAGCCGGATGCTTTTCATCGTGAGATAGGCAGGCACAAGCAGACCATAGAATGTGGCTGAAAGAGTGTGCTTCACCACGCGGGAATGGGCCCGTTCTGTTCATGTAGATCGCCATGCTCTGCAATCCACGTGTCTCCCAGATTTCTTTCCGCCGACAAATCCCATATCCAGACAGCTAGCGGTTCGATGCCGACCGTCTCGTATATAGCCTGCATGCGAGACATCCTCCCGATCATAAGATTACGCAGCACCGGGTAGACTCCCTCCCTTCGGCATCGCGATCCCTCGCGGCCGCCTTCGTCGCTTTGGTATCCTCCTCTTCAACGAGCTCCTGCGGGCGGACTGTCATGTGCACGACGTTCGGGTTGTCGGCGTTAAACCGGCAATCTACAGCCACAGTCAAATTAGCAACAACTCTTTCAATCTCACCCTCCCCACGAACCCACACCGCAGCAACAGATAGGATAGGATTGGACAGGAAACCACGTACCCCTTAACGCCGTATTATCCTCTAACATCCGCCCAAAATGAATCAACCGAATCGAACTCGGCGCCACCGGCCGCTCCTCCCACTCCTCCTTCCACTCATTCCATACCAGCTCCTTCAGATTATACACGCTGATGTTGAACGGGTCTCCGTCCTCTGCCTTCATGCTGCGCTTCCCGAGGTACTTCTCGTCGATACGCATCGCGTGCCGCGCGCCGGAGGTGAGGAGGAGGGTGATTAGGACGGGGGTTTTCGGGAGAGGGGAGACCGGGGAGGGGGTTTCGGGAGCGGGGGCGTCGGTAGGGAGGGGGGTGGAGGCGTCGGTGGGTGGGATGGGCTTCTCGTCGGGTTTGTCTGCGGACGTTACGGGTGCTGATGCTGCGTCCGTGGCTGCGCTAGGAAGTTGCGTCGGAGGGGGAGCGGGAGCGGTCGATTCAGGCTGCTCTGGCGCGACGGCCGGGGTGGAGGGGAGGTCGTTCATCTCCACGGCACTGGGCGCATCGCTTGCTGTCTGCGGGGCATGCGACGTCTTGGGTTGTTCTGATACCAGTGCCACCTCCTCGGAGGGTGCTGGTGGTATTGCGGCGTTGGTGGAGGGAGCGGAGCTGGCCATAACTGGCCTGCGTGGGAGATGAGGTCACGTCACGACGGAGGGCGGCGAGTGGGAAGTTTGCTGAGGTGCGGATTCTGGGACGGATTAGATTGTCGATGACAATCGAGATGGTCCGGGTTTATCTAGATGTCGGGGATGCAGCGGTATGGATGGATGCGTCTCATGCAGCGAAAGGCGAAATACCCGATAGGCTAGCTGAACCGAAGGGTGGATGGAGGATGACGCCTGAGGGAGGACAAGGCGGGCCGGATCGTTCGGTGGGGATGGGTTGTCGTCCTAGTCTGGGGTGGGACGGGGAGATGCAAACGATGGACTATTAGTGAGCGGAAATGCGCGGAGAGGTAGATGGTATGGGAAGTGATGTGGGATTAAATAGAGAACATGGAGTGAAACGTGCTGGAAACGTGGAGATGGGATGAGAGAGTGCTGGAGCCGTGGTTATGGTTGTTGGAGACGCCCAGCGCCGTCGTCACGACGATGGATTCCCTGGGATTCCCTGGGCCCTGATAGATCCGTTGAGTATAAACTTTGTATATAACAGAAAAACCCGACAAGATCGAACAGAATAAAGTTGTACAGGTTGAACAGAGCTTCACATGGTTAAATCTGGATTGCTTGGAAAGTTCTATAAATTCATGCGTCTTATCACGAGATCTCGTCTCATCTCGCTTTGTCATGTACGACGGTACGATGCGGCTTCAGATTATAAATCCAGTTCTGCGATGGTCTTGGGGGATTCTCACAACGGATCTTCTGCAAAAGTCCTGGAATCACTCTACTAGACGTTCGCTTGAAAAAAACCAAGGGTGCTTGAAACTTTTGGAGTTCACCATCTGGGTGATGAAGGACCAACCTGGTCAGGGGCAGTCGGAAATATATGAGGTCCATCGCAGAACCCGGTTATGCATCCGTCATTGATCTAGATAGATGTATAGTTCCCCTCTTAAAAGCTATGAAAGCCAATCCTGATACTGGGCCACATCCTCCGTCCGAACGCCTTCCATCTCCTCTCGGACATCCAGAATCTTGACCCGCCCGGGCTTCTGCTCCCTGTCCGTCTCAGCGTCAAACACGTACCCATCAACCAACCGCTTGAGCCGATCCAACACCTCTGGGCGATCCTCGATCAGCACTGCCACCGCGTCAAACCCGCCCGCACCCGGTACCACACCCCCCACCACCCCGTCCAACGCCGTACACGCATCCAACAACATCGTCTGTGTCTTCGGCTCAATTGGCACGTCCGCCGCCGTCGACATCTTCCTCGTCAGCGTCCGAATCGCCGCAAAGCACTCCGTCAACCTCCTATACTTTCCATCTCCCCGCTCCCCACCCCCTTCCGCCAGCCGCCTCAGCTCCTCCGCCAGCGCCTCGTTTTCCTGCTGCAACTCCCCCCACAGCGCGTCCGCCTCCTCCCGATGCTCCGCCCGCCACCCCAACACCCGCCTCACCATCCCCGGCGTCTGCGTCCCGCCATGCACGTCGCACATCACCAGCCGCAACCCCGCCGGCACCGCGACCGCGCCCTTGCGCACCTCCGTGTCCCATTTCCCCTCCGCGTCCTCCACCGTCGTGCGTAACCGCGCCACAAACCCCGCCGACCCGGCTTCTCCTTGACCAGAGAGTACGTCGGGGGAAAAGCGCCGGTACACGCAGCTTCCGTAGACGGCGGCGGCGACGTCGAAGCCGGAGCCAACCTTCCCTTGCGCCGCGCAGTGGGCGGCTTGCGCGAGATTATGCAGAAGGGCGCGTGAGGCGGACGAATTGAGGTCGAACGTCGAAGACGGAAGGTGGTGGGTGAGGAGGGCGGCGGTGAAGGCGGTGACGAGGGCGGCGGAGGAGCCGAGGCCGGTTTTGTGGGCGGAGGGGAGGGGGACGGCGAAGTGGAGGAAGCGGGGGGTAGAGGGGGTGGAGGGGTGAGAGTAGTAGTCGTTGTCGGCAAGGATGGCGATAGAGGTGGGGGGGAGGGGGGATGGGGAGAGGGTGGTGAGGTAGGTGAGGACGTGGCTAAGGGCGGTTTCGACGAAGGGATTAGGGGATGCGCTGGAGAGAAGAAGTAAGCGATTGGCCCTAAAGGGTATTCGAATTTAGGGAATTGACGTATAATGACTCGGACGGAGGCAATTGTAGCATATAGAGCCAAGGAAAATTATAATAGACTCAATATCAGAAAACAATATATCGCATCTTCGAATCATCGATTGCGACTCCACGACATCAAGGTCCATATCATCTCCAAAATCACTTACGCTCTCAACTGCGTCACCGTCACCCCTCCCCCCTCCTCCCTCACCCGATACCCATACTCCCAAACCGCCTCCTCAAACTGCGGCGACTTGACGACCACCTCCTCCGACACCCCGTCCGTGCTCGCCCGCGGCCTGACGACCACGTGTATCCGCGCGCTCAGTCCGAACACCAATCCCGTATATTGGCGGTCCAGGACAAGATAACCGCCGGCGAGGAGCACCTTGCCGGGGGCGGAGACCGCTGTGGGTTGGGCGGTCATTGTAGCACTGGGGAATGGGGGTGGAGGGGTAGGTTAGGGAGGCTAGGATGTTGTTGATGACGACGACGACGACGACGCAAAAAAGGTTAAGATCGAGATGTGGTAGTGGTGACGGCGATTGGAATCACCGATGCCGTGCGTTATGCGTACCTGGCGTGTGGGGATTATTCGGCCCAGTGGGAGGGAGGTCTGGTTCGGGTCGCAGGGTGCGGACGATCAAGGCATCAGACTGGCCGAGCTCTCCTTGATTGATTAGAATTTCGATATGGCAGATGATCGTCGATCCATCAGCTTGGGGTGTTAATGCTGATGCCTGGTGGGCCAAGATGACATGCAGGATTCCTGAAAAATGGCGCACTCGCTTTGCAGGCTCCGTTATGCTCCTATTCGTTTCATGACCTCATGATGTGGCCTCTACAGGAGGTGCCGCGTTATCAGATGGAAGCCTCACATGGTTTGGTGCGTATATTGGTCTAATCTAGCCCTACTGGTTATCAGATTGCGAGACGAGGTTCTCTGTACGGAATACTGGTAGGATTAAGGATTGATATATGTGGCGGAAAGGACGGTACATCAAGCAGAGCAAGATCATCATGGCTCCCGCACAGTAGGGACCAATCCAGAGACCAATCTGCTTCTAACCTCTCGGTACCCCGAGAGTTGATAGATTGAATAATAGATCTTCTTCACGACAGCAATTAACATGAGTAAATATATCAGACACCTTTCGGCAGGAAACCCTTCTATTCAAGGCTTGCATCTGTCCAGGCTGTCCTTTTTACAAAGCATGACGACGTTCCCGTTTATCAGATGGACCATCGATCCAATCGGTCGGCCCCAGCTTTTCCAGAAATCCGTCGAAGAGTCCGTAATAGTTGTAATACTGTTTTAGAGGCTTGGAGCACCGCCCCTGCTGCATAGCGGATGGTGAGTCAAAGGATCCCTCGCCTAGCCGGATGCAGGAATAATCGCGCAGTCGGGCAGTCCATCAGGCCGACTGCGACTCAGCGACTCAGCGACTCAGCGACTCAGCGACTCAGCTGTAACTTGTAAGTTGTAAGGTATCGAACAGGAGCTCTGCCAAACCGAAATCGCCCGAGCAGCCTATTGCAGGCCATGGACCTTTCGTATTCCCTTACCAGCCGGCACTACATCCGAGAATCCGAGGGTCCCGGGTCCCCGAATGGGGTGGAATCCTGGAGTCGCCGCGTCGCCTTGCAAAGCCTTGACTGGTGAATAATGGGGATTTAGAGTGCTAGCTCAAGTTGTTACATTGGATTGATGACTGTGGCACAGACTTGCACTCAATTTGATGGTTCCGATGATCAAGATTTCTTCGTCATCTTCGTCTCGTCTCTTTCTCATCCCTCACTCCCTCACTTACGGTATTAACTTTAGGGCCATATCTTGCCTGACTTGACTTTCTTCCTTCTGTCCTTCTTTTGCCTCTTTCATTTTTGTCAATTCAACCTTTTTACATCATCCTAATTGACCTTTCATTTGTGATCCCCATCTTGTGTTCTTCGTGCTACATTTGGCACGGAACCGAGTCCAGGTCTCGACCAACCACCACCATCGCAACTAGAACATATACCCTCAGGGTAGCGCGTTCATTGACGGCCATTAGTCGTCAAATGAACCTGCATCAGCCATTATCGAGAATTCAAGTATGGCCTTGACGATATGCCATCGGTCCAATCGCTGACGTCGCCACAGTCTCACCCTTCGAATCTGAAGGGTTCCTCCATCTCCTAAATGGTTCTGAAGGCTCTCAACCTTGCACGCCTTAGCTTATCGAAAGCCTTCACCCACGGATCCGCGCAATCCCTCGTCGCCGGATACCAATCCTCCTACGCCTCCCAGAACAACAACCCCTTCAGCTCCTTCACCAACGGCTTCGCCAACCGTTACAACAAGGGCTCCTCCCTCCAACACCACGCCGCGTTCGCCTCCCAGACACAGGGTGCTTCTGGGAAATCCGCGCAAAATGACCAGCTCGACTCGTTAGCGGCGTACCTCGTCGCCTGGCATAAACAACGACTCAGCGATCGTGAGTGGCGACAGTACCAGTTTGCTAAACGAATCGAATGGAAGGCTCCTGAGGAGTCCGCGGAGGAGGCGGCGGTTGCGGAAGCGGAGGCCGATCAGGCTTTCGAAGCGTCACAAGATGGTTCCGAAGATGCTGCGACTCGAGGTCTCACTCGGTCATACTCCTCGGGGGACCTCGAGAGTTGGAAGAAGGTTGGCGATGTCATGGATAGCGATGTCGCCGCCATCGCCAAGGAGCATGAAGAGCTCTCACAGGCGCGGAAACAACATGCTCAGACAACCCTGCTCGACACCGAGCAGACCAGCAAGTCCGGTGTCGAGCGTCACTCATCCAGCGAGACGTCGCTCTCCGATGCCGTCTTCACTGTGGGCTCGGAAGAGGCTCCATTGACGCCGACCACGCCTGTCAGCCATTCGGAGCAATTCGAACATCATCTCATGAGGCTCGCCTCCTCGGGGAAATGGATGGACATCGCCGCCGTCTTCGAGAGCATGTTGCGGACCGGCGTGAAGCCAACCGCAACCGCTTATAATGCCCTGCTGCAGGCTGCCATAAACATCCCGGTTGGCAAACATCAGCGCGTGCCCAAGGCGCTGGCTGTTTACTCGGACATGCTCAAGCGTGGCGTTGCACCGACCCTGCCGATCTACACACAGCTGATCAACCTTCTGTCTTCCCGGACGCTCGACGTGCAGGCCATGCGGAAATTGTTGTTGACGAAGCAGACGCGATACGGAGGCGAGGGATGGTCCATGTTCCGCTCCGACGAGACGGAGCTGGAGATCTTGAACGAGGATGACTCGTTGCCGTTAGCCGTGCGGATCTTCCAGTCGGCTGTCAAGTCGTACGCCGGGCCGCTGGACGGCGAGTCATATCGCCTCCTCATCTCCGCTTGCGCGAACGAGGGCAAGGTGGATGACATGGTTCGCGTCTACGAGCACATGGAAAAGTTCCAAGTGACCCCCCTCGCGGACACCCACGTCAAGATGATCCTCGCGTTCGGCCGCTCCGGTGACCTCAAGAGCGCCGTCGAGACCTATAACGAGTACCGCGCCCTGGCCATCGAAAACAACAACGGCACTTTAGATATGTCCCGAAAGGACAGCGATATCTACGCCGCCGTCGTCCAGAGCTACCTCGCCTGCGGACGCATCCCTGGCGCCGACCGATTCATTGACCGGATCCAGGAGTCGCTTCCGGCGGAGCAAGTCGCCGGTCTGCGTGACGCTGTCAGCCTCCAGGCGAAAATCCCCCAATTACTGCAAGCGAACCGCTCAACAGACGCGTTGGAACTCGCAGAGCAATTGAGCCCGACCGCCCGCGATTTGGCCATGGCGCTCGTTGCAGAGCATGCGGCGGATCGCGACGACCTCGACATCGCAGTTAAGGCGTTCAAGTCGATCGTGGAACCCGGACAAGTGCCCAAGTCGGCGATCATGGCGCTTGCGGCCATGCATGCGCGCGAGGGCAGCTTGGACGCGCACCAGTACATGTGGGACGTCATCAACTTCGAGCAGATGCAGCCGTCCGTCGAGGCAGTGACGCTGCACGCGCTGTTCCTCATGCAGCATGGAAACATGCAGGGCGCGTTGTCGGCCACGAGGGAGATGTTCAAGCTCATTCGAAACGACGCGCACGGTTCGAGCGAGGTGACGGAGCGGATGGATGAGTCGATCCATGTGCTACATGACCTCACTATGAAGGCGAGCGTCCTTCCGGCCGAAGCGAAGATGGATTTCCTGTGGCTGATGGTTGAGAATGGGGGATTGATTCGCAGTGTTGCGGAGCATACGCTGGCAAGAATGGGTCCGGAAGATGTGGCGACGTTGAGCCCGAAGGATCTTTTGTTGCTCGTTCAGATCCAGAGCAGCATCGTGGCAAGTAACCCTCAGGCTGCGGATCTCGCCAGCTCGTCGCGATTAGCCCACGCCATCGATCAAGCTGCCGTTCGAGGTGTCGTCTTTGATGAACGCACCCTCAAGCTGATCGAGGAGGCCCTGACGAAGACCAAGAGCGTGGAAATCTCTCAGGCACTACAGAGTTTCCGCTTCCCCGTGGCTCCCGTGGTCGCCCCCACGCCGCAACACGCGTTTGCCCAGGCCTACCAAGCGCCGTTCGAAGACAGCTTCGACCCCTACGGCAAGACGACCGACAACAAAGGCTCCGTGGCCATCACCGAACTTCTCGAGAAGACGTACGGCAAATCGTCCAGCCACTTCAACGAGGCGCTCCAGAAGTTCCGCAATATGCGCCGCGCCGGTCGCCATCCGCGCTACTTCACTTACGCCAAGCTGATCGCCGCCGCAGCGAAGGAACATCGGTTCACGGACGCGCAGGAGATCCTGGCGACCGCGTATCAGGACCTCCCGCCGATGCCGCAGTATCGCATCGTGAAGCATGGATGGGCTACGATTCTGGATTCTATGGTCGCGGCGTGTCTGACTACTGGAAGACGCCACCTTGCGGGCGACTATCACCGTCAATTGTTGGAGATGGGCGCCACGCCCTCAGCCAACACCTTCGGACTGTACATCACGACGCTCAAGGAAGGCGCTAAAACGTTCGACGAAGCATCGGAGGCCGTTCGCATCTTCTTGCAATCCAAGACTGAAGGTGTTGAGCCTAGCTCATTCCTGTACAACGCGCTCATCGGTAAGCTCGGAAAAGCGCGCCGCATCGACGACTGTCTGTTCTACTTCACGGAGATGCGCAGCCTTGGGATCCGCCCCACCAGCGTCACCTACGGCACCATCGTCAACGCCCTCTGCCGCGTGTCCGACGAGAAGTTCGCCGAGGAACTCTTCGAAGAGATGGAATCCATGCCGAACTACAAACCGCGCCCCGCGCCCTACCACTCCCTCATGCAATTCTTCCTCACCACCAAGCGCGACCGCTCCAAAGTCCTCGCCTACTACGAGCGCATGCGCGCCCACCGCATTGAACCCACTTCCCACACCTTCAAACTCCTCATCGACACCCACGCCACCCTCGACCCCGTAGACCTCCCCGCCGCCGAGCGCGTCCTCGACGAACTCCACGCCTCCCCTCTCGCCGCGGAACCCGTCCACTACGCCTCCCTCATCCACGCCAACGGCTGCGTCCTGCACGACCTACCTGCCGCCCGTGCCCTCTTTGACCGCGTCCTCGCCGACCGCCTGGCCGCCCCGTCCCCGTGCCTCTACCAGGCGCTCTTCGAATCCATGGTCGCCAACCACGCCATCGCGCCGGAAACCGTCGACGCGCTGCTGGACGACATGGCGCTACGTCGCGTCGAGTTGACGCCGTATATCGCCAACAGCTTGATCCATGGCTGGGCGGTGGCGGGCGAGGTGGACCGCGCGAAGAAGGTGTATGAGAACGTGCCGCGGGGCCGGAGGGAGCCGAGTACGTATGAGGCCATGACGAGAGCGTTTATGGCGGCGGAGCGGAGGGAGGAGGCTAGGGGAGTGGTGGAGGAAGCGGTTGGGAGGGGTTATCCTGCGGCGGTGGCCGGGAAGATTGCGGATTTGGTGGGTGCGTAAGTGCATTCCGTCCATCCCGTTGAGATCACATACACCGGCCTAGTTCTCCTATGTTTTTGCTCTTGGCGTCATGTTTGTCCGGCGGCGTTGGGTTACGGTGCGGTACTTTGTACAGTATGTGCAACCACCCAAAGTGCAGTGATCTTATCACACGCTTTTTGGGTCCTTGCGCGACGGATCCATCGCCCCGCTTCGGCGCTGCTGCATACCCGCTTTTCGCAGCATTAGGTCTTCGGCGTTCCATCATTTGTTTTCCCACCGCCTTCAAGGCGCTTTTCCTTTTTGTCCTCAAAATAACGGCCGTGGAGGCGTTCCCCGCTTCGAGGAAGCGGAGATCTGGCGTTTCTCGGACCGGGAGTTCGAAGCACCAGCCGACGAGATCGGTGCGGCTGGGAGTGTAATATACCCTGGAATTTCCTTTTCTCTTTTTGTGCGAAGGGATTGGGAACGGATATCATGAAATCTCCACTCTACTAAATAGACGGTGAAAGATAGCGGGACGGCCCTCATTAGACGAGCGGCGGACAGCAATTGTAACCATATATATGTAACCTGATGTGCAGTTTATGGTGATTTGAGTGCAATAATTGTAGCCCGTAAAGATTATTCTAACAGCGCTCCGATAGTAATCTACTCCTATATCATTATCCAACGTTTAAACTTCATACAATCTGCTTCTTCCTCAACACCGCAACCCCCTCCACATGACTTGTCTGCGGAAAGAAATCAAATCCCCTCACACTCTCCACCTCATACGCCCCCTCTCCCTCCCCAAATCCCCCATCCACCCCCTTCACCCCATTCACCAACGCCCCGACGTCCCGCGCCTGCGTATGCACATTACAGCTCACATACACCACTCGCGCCGGCCCGAACAACAACAACTGGCGCAAAAACGCCAGATCGCACCCTTTCCGGGACGGGTCGATGACGACAGCGGTCTCCTCCGGCGGGAACTCGACGACCTCGAAGATCCGCTCGGAGTTGCCGACGTGGAACTGGGCGCGCGACTCGGACAGGTGGTTCAGGCGGGCGTTGCGGCGCGCGAAGTCGATGGACGGGTCGGAGATGTCGATGCCGAGGGATTTTTCGAAGAGGGAGGAGAGGGTGATGGTGAAGAGGCCGGAGCCGCAGTAGGCGTCGATGAGGTATTTCAAAGGGGGGACATCTGGAGCAGGGTTGGAGGGGAGGATGTGCGAACGGATGTAGTGGGTGAAGGGGGAGAGGATGGAGTTGTTGTTTTGAAAGAACGAGCCAGCAGGGTTCTCGAAGATGAAGTCGTCGACATACTCCGTGCTGGTGGCGCGTTGGTCGGCGATGTAGGTCTTGTCGTGATAGTGGGTGGGAAACTCTTCGCGGACAACGTCAGGTGGGGACGTGGCAGACTCGTCGGTCGCTGGGGTGTCTTCGGGTTTGGGGATTCGTTTAGTGCTTTCTCGAAGGAGAATGGTGGCGCCGCGGCTGTATTTGTCGAGATGGTCCACGACGAGTTGCCGCTCACGCTTGAGCCCCTTGAGAACGGCCTCGGTGCCGATCGGACAGTCTTCAATGTCAAGCGTCTTCCGCGTGTTCTTAAGCATGTAGCCGATCGGCGGTACTTCCGTAAACGCCGCCTTGATGCCCTTCTTCCGGTTACTACGAAAACCGGGCGGCCCATCGAAATGCGGCGTCAGCTTGGTGCGGTAGCCATACTGCAGCGGGGACCCGATCGTGTCCCCCACCGGCGGCAGCAGCGTTGGGTCGATGGTCGAAAAGTTGCGGAACGCTTTCTCGACGATGGTCTTCTTGTGCGCGAGTTGGTCGTCGTACGCCATCATCTGGAACTGGCATCCCGAGCATTTTGAAAAGTACTGGCATCCGATGCGGGAATCGTCGCGTAGAGAGGAGGGTTCGAGCACTTTGACGAAGTCGGTCATGGAATACGGGTGCTCATCCATATGCCGAAAGACCTTGGCGAGCACTCGATCTCCCGGAACGGTGAAGGGTACGACATAGACTCGATTGTCCTTGGGGTTGAATGCAAGCCCATCGCCGGTCGAAGAAAGTAGTCCGACGTCCAGCTCCAACTCGGTTTGAGTCTCGACCAGTTCTCCAGGCTCTTTCACACCAAGCGATTGTTTCTCGAGTAATGCTCGAACATCTTCAAGCAAAATGTCCTCGGAAGACGCCTCGATCCAATCGCCTCCTTTTTTCTGCTTCTTGGCCTGCTTCTTCCCACCAGCATACTTGGGTTTCCTTTTGGTGCCGCGGTTTTCCTGAGCGGGAGGCATGATAAAAGATGGCAGATAATTAAAGTTCCGGATCCTGATTCGGGTTAATCTAGTGGGAGGAATAAATCTGCTCAGAAACATGGTTTGCATCAAAGCATTATCAATGAAGAAAATACCAAATATCGGGTCTCGGGGAAATCAACTTTTCGATGGAACGAGCTAACCGTGTTGGGTCTAGCGCATTCAGCATCCCGTCCAATTCGCAACGACGTCGAGAGATTTCAAAAAGTTCCAATCCAAGCACGACACTCCAAGAAGCCCCCGATCGAGCTCATCAGTCTTCAATCGCTGATTGCAAGGCCATTCCGAGAGTTTAGACCAGCTGGAGGTTCAGTCGAGACGCAATGAGCGTCTCGCGCCCAGCAACATGTCTCTTCTCCCTCTCCTCCACATGTATCCATCGAGCCTCTCACCTCCGAACCCCCATCCGACCCTTCTCTAGCACTCCCACTCGCCCCGCTCGACGACGTCCTCGATATGCGAGCATCAAAGCCGTGGACATGAAGCTCGTGGAGGAGCGCGTCGCCCAAACCGAGTCGGAGAACCGTCCCTTCACCTCCGCCGAGCAGCAATCCATGGCCAAGTACTACACTCCTCAGCAAATCGAAGCCATCATCGCAGCGGAGAAGTCCATAGACACGAATGATCTCGCGCTCCAAGGTCAACTCCGCTCGGACGCCTGGCGGATGGAATACCTCGACGACTTCACCAAGCTCCGATCCGCCATCGACTATCCATCCAACTCCCCCTCCTCCCCCCACCCGACCACGTCCGTCGCCCCTGCGATCCCTAAACTACCTGACAGCGATTTCACCGCGCCCACCCGCCTACAAACCGACACCGAAGGCCCGATGGACCGACTAGCGAAGATCTCCGGCTTCGACCTCAAGGAGATGAAGGGCTTCCACACCCGCGTCCTGGTTAACCGGCGCGTCGTGAACCAGACGCGGCTGGGGAAGATCCAGTCGATCAGCATCCTGGCGCTGGCGGGTAATGGTGACGGGTTGCTGGGGCTCGGGGTGGGGAAAGCGGCGGAGTTCGCGGACGCGATGAAGCATGCGCGGCTGGATGCGATTCGGAATATGAAGCCGGTGCCGCGGTATGAGGGCCGGACGATCTTTGGGACGGTGCATGGGAAGGTGGGGGCGGTCCAGGTGGAGTTGAGTTCGAGGCCGCCTGGTAGGTTCGATCGATGTGTGACGAGGAGACGTACTGACTGATTGAAGGGTTCGGCACGCGAGTCTCGCATCTGATCTTCGAGATATGTAAAGCGGCGGGCATCACGGATCTATCAGCTCGAGTGGGCAAGTCACGGAATCCAATGAATACGGTAAAGGCGGCGTATGAAGCTTTGATGAGTCAACGGCTACCAGAAGACGTTGCACGGGGACGAGGGAAGAAGTTGGTGGATGTACGGAAAGTGTACTATGCTGGGAATGTGTTGTAGATATCTAGCGATGCATACATAGCATGGCGCTGAGCTTGAGGCTGACTGTTTATTGCACAGTTGGTATGTATTATACGTCGCATGTCGACATTGTATTCATCCGACCATTATTCGTATTTGTGCAAGCCTGGTTCACCGACGTTCGTTTTGCTACTCTCTCTTTCCTTAGGTGCTGGCACACAGTCGTGCCATCAAGAGGACAGCTGACTGGAGATCCTCCGATGAGTAGCGCCCTCCGATATCCGGAGCGTTTCCAGTATAGGAGCCATCCAACTGCTTTTTCAGCTAAATCTTCATCCGCGGCCCCGAATGCCCTTTTCGCAAGCTGTGTGTCGCATAAGGGCGCTTCACAACCCATCGGGGGTCCATTTCGCGATTCAAGCCCAGATTGAGGAGTCAGGGCAATCCGTACATCTTTATGCATTGCCCCTAGGCCTTGCAACCACGAATCGCCAGCTCTTTCAATGTGTTTCCCACTGACTGAACCAGCTCTTTCATTCCGCACCAGTGGCCGACTCCTCATCCGCCTCATCCCCTAGAATCTGCTGCTGCAGCACAATGCTATACACACTCGCCTTTAGCAGTGTGAACACCAAACTTGTCTTACGCTCCAGTCCGCGCAACGACTCGAGGATTTGGGTGCTTGGTTTGGCGGCGAGGTCGGCGAGGAGGGCTGAGAACTACATAATATCGTTAATTGCAAGTTCCATCAAGGAATCAAGACAGGTAGTGCATCTATGCGGGGGAGGTCGCAGTATGGCCTGAGTGCCTGAGAGTATCCTGAGGAGAACATACACTGTTCAGGTTTTCGAGGACTTTAGTGTATTCGTCTAAGACCTCTTGCTCGAGCGGAGTGAGTGACTCGTCGTCTTGTGCATGGTGATGCGAATTGGGATGCGGAGAACCGCTCGTCGTGGTTGTCGGAACCGAAGCCATTATAGATGGTAGGGGCTGGAGTGGCGACTTCGACTGCCGGTATTCAACCTGATTACAGCATAGGAGTAAAAGCTGGTACTTTGGTTCTGGTTTGCAATGATGAATAGTATAAGGAGCTTGAATGGCTCACGCTGTAAGTTATCGAAGTCTATGTGCTCTCAAGAATGTTGAGTCTCGTGTGGTGATAGAAAACTTGTTGCCTTATTGCCTCGTCGTCTTAGTGTACATGTATGTAGCATCGTGAATTCGTGATAGTGATGCCCATCCATGTCTTACTAAGTCATACGTCCACCCTCGGAATCGTCTTCCCATTGGCACTGTGCTAATGTCTGCGGGAACAATAGGTAAATGTCGAATTGAATATGGACCCAGATAATGTTGACTTTGAATGTCTTACTAAGACCTACCCCGACCCTCTAGGCGACTATGTCGGGCTCAACTCTCTACCTCTTGTGTATATTACGGTAAATAGGCCTGTGGTGCATAAAGGCAACCTGTCGCAGACCAAGGTATCATCTTGTCGCACGGGTAGTGCTAAAATGGTTGGGGGTCGGGTGATTTGGTGACAGCAGCGAAGTTGTTGTATTGTGTAGATAAAATAACTGAAGCTTAAGATTACAGCATTTACACTTTACTCGATTACAACTGTTGTAAATGAGTTACAACTGTGGATCATCAAAATTTACACCGTAGACTCCATTAGGACCTATGGCTAACAGAAAGGTGGGTTGTAGTGGAGTTGTAAAATGGTATTCGAGGTTACAAAACCTCTCCAATACAACTCTGCTGCTTGATCATCAGATTACTCTGACTTCTAACCATTTAGCACATCCCGTGCGACAGCAGGAATCAATCAATCAATAAACCCCTATCACGACGTCGCTACTTATCAACGTCTCTTTCTGTAAGGAGTTATTTTGGTAGACTACTCGCAACCCAGCTTGTTGATCCAAAACGAGCATACAGCAAGTGCCATTGCTACAATCATGGGCATCCACTCTCTTCCACTAGAAGTTGTTGAGATGATTTACCACCACCTCGATCCTCTATTCCATCTAGATCTTGCCCTAGTGGACAAACAAGTTTTCAATCTTTCGCGGCACATTATTGAAAAGCACCAAAAATACTACTACTCCTACCGGACATTTTCGGACCAAGAGCCGGCTGCAATTCTTAGGCAACTTCGCAATGTTGCAACGGACAATGTTGCGGCATGGCATCTTCGGACTTTCGAAGGTCTCAACAGCTACCATAAATGTAGGCTAACTGGTCATGTTAGCGAGGCGAAGCTTGCTGCTCTGGCTGAGACCGTTTGCAAAACCCTGGGGGCGATCGGTATACCTGCCTTTGGCATTTCTCAAATTCGAAATGGGAATCTGGAAGCACTCGAAACCGGCTTGCTTGCTTTGTCTTCCCGAGTCCATACCGTCAAGACCATCTCTCTCTTTCCCCCGCCTAATCAGGATAAACTTGATGAGATCACGGAAGAGTTTTGGGCTTCCCATCGGTCGTCGTAAGTAATCGTCCGTAGCTTACAATCGCAAAGGAATAGGCAAGCTGAGCCCTCCCAGTCAAGACTATGCAGTCGATCCAACCCGCAACTTCTTCTGTAATGCCATCCGTGCCTTTCACGAAATGAAACCCGAGCCCCTCTGGCCACCAGGTTTCGAATCTCTGCACACAGTGATGATCACCGTTCCGCATCGCGACTTCTATCCTCCCGACTTCGAGAGGTACTCAGGCCTATGGGCCATCAACGTAGCGCCGGTATTCCTTCTCCCCAACATCCGGAAAATCTACCTCGGAGGCCTGTGGATAAACGAGGCCGACGTCAATGACGACGACCCGTTAGTGGACCCAGATATCCCCGGCTTGGGATTGCCATCGGCCTCGTCGTCTGTCGAGCACCTGTTCATCGAGCGCGCGGGCAACGAGGAGTACGACGGGGAGTACGTCAAACACGCTGTAAATGCATTTATCGACAGCGCGAAGGCGCTAAGAACTTTTATCGTTAAAGACTGTGGGTTCAACGACTTCGATAACACTATAGGCTGGCTAGGAGAAAGGCATGGCGAAACTTTGAAGACTCTTATATTCGGGGATGAGATTGGCGAGTTGAGGGGCTATCGCTGCTCTAAGTTCCGGCCTGAAGAAGTCATCGACCTTTACCACTGCGTCACAATTATGACGCTGGATATAGGAGACATCCTGCTCGGTTCGATGACAATGGAGATCGACAGGGAAGAGGAAGAAGAAACACCTAAGGGCAACAACGGGGGCGCGAGCAGCAATTGGGAAGGTAGATCGGATAACTGCGGCTCCCATGCTCGATCAGTCGAATTCTTTCAGTATTGCGTTCCGAACACTACGGAAGTGTTGGTACTGCGGCCGAACAGGTGGCAGCGACTCCGCGGGGGCGACTTTAAGGCGATTGCCAGTGGAATCGTCGCGCTGCTCGAGAGTAACGTGGTCGAGATGGAAGGTCTGCGGCACGTATACCTAGATGAGGTGCTGGACTGCGCAGATGATACGCCCACACCAAAGTTGGGCTGTCCGCCGGGGCCGACGGGTCCGGCCCTTGCGCGGCATTATTTTGAGAAGATAGTTGAGGCTTGTACGGAGCGTGGCATTGAGCTGCACCTTGATTCTGGGTCAACGTCCCGGTACATTGATAAAGTTTGCAAAGAGTTGTTTGATCTCGAGCTCAAGGCCCCACCGCTTCCTGGATCGGAGGGTTGCATAGAAGTTTCTACTGAAAAATATGGTACTGTAGATTAGATCAGAACTACACGATGTATTATCACCACTAGGCAAATACCAACGTGTTGACATATGGTCAATCAGAACGATCCGTGGAATCCAATCCTGCCAGGTCTTGGTAGAATCACGGGAAAAATAGGCCTGTGGTGCATAAAGGCAACCTTCCTGCTTCCGGAACGCCATCGTCTCGCTCTCCGTACGAGGGTTCAAATCCTGCAAGTCGAATAGAGCCTTAAACATGATCCCTCTAAGGATTTTTACACGGGAGACTGCCACGTAGGTCAGGCCAGGCGCGAACTCCCGCTCCGAAATGTCCAGCATAGCCCGTGCTAGAGTCATTCCCTGCGACTTATACGTTGTGATGGCATCAGTGATGGTCAACGGGAACTGTGAACGTAAACAGGAAGTATTCCCGATATAGAACTCGCGGCGTGATGGGAGGATTGGGACCAAGACAAAGCTGCCTACGTCCAACGTCGGTCCCTCATATCGATCGAATTGAACGAGGAGTATAGAAGAAGGATCCTTCTGGATATTAGCACTAGTCTGCCAGCGAATATCACGTACTGTTCCCACCGCACCGTTCACTAGGCCTCGTTGGGTCTAGAGATTCTCTGTCAATATAACACGGGTTCCCAACGCCATCGGAATCTTAGAATAGAGGTTTCTTGCCTCATTAGTCGGAACATTTTCTGCCTCTGCCCCTCCTTCGTGAATTGCTCGACACATCATTACAGGAGAACAGAGATCGTGTAAACGACGATAGTTAAACACGGCGACAGGCGTTTTCTTACCGAAGATACGGAGAGCGTCCCGGAACGATGCCACCTCCTCAGACTGAAGCATGGCCTATACTCGTGTACTAAGCAGTGTCCAGTCGTCACGGGCTGCGGAGCCTATCCGCAGATAATCGAGAGCCTGGTGGAACTGAATTGACTTAACGATATTACCCTGCTACCGAACGACTTCATTAAGCTTAATCGTTCGCTCGAATTAGTAGTAGATATTACGTCCATACTATTCATCTAGCTTTAGATGTCTCTTCTGGTTATAAAGAGCAGTTTCCAAGACCGGAGGAAGCTGGAAGAAGTCGCCAAAGAGGAGAATACAGAGACCACCGAAAGACTTGTCTACGCCAGGAAAGATCTCGCGGCAACGACGGTCAATATAGGAGAGCTGGCGAAGGCCGATTATACATTTTTTTCGTCGATGATCAGATACCGTATAGAGCTACCCCGGAAAGTGCCCTGAGCGGCTTAAAAAGCAGCCGGGCAGCCGGCCGGAGGGGATCGAGAGACTTGACATCCTGAACAGGAAGACGAAAAAGAGTATAACTAGTGTCGACACGGAGAGACTACAAGCTGCGACGCCCGTACGCGCGGCACGAAGAACAGGGTTCGATAATCTATGCCGTGATGCCGTCTCCTGCCTGATCAGTGATCACCCATTGAATTATTTGAGGGCCCAATGTCTTAGTAAGATATACCCCTACCCTCCGAGTCGTTGGCCCAAGACGGCCAAGAGAGGACCCCCCGGTTTGTAACCACCCACGCCACCCACTTTGTAACCAGCATAAACTCCACCAAAGGCGATGTCCCATTCAACACTCTCTACTTCAAGCAAGCACAAGAGTGCTGACTGGGTGAGTTTCGGGTGAGCCTTGGCGCTTCGTCCGCTCAGGCGGGATCACGTTTTGGGCAGTGGTTTGGGTGAGTTGGGGGTGAGCCGCCTCTGAATTATGGTATATTGCCCGCCGCTGGTGTCGCAAGATGCCTCTGTTGGTTTCTACTGCCCTAACATTCCTTTCACTGCCCATTACCCCTAGGTACCCCTAGGCTAAGCCTATTTCGGACAACTTAGTCTTTTCCCTTGTATTTAACTTAACCTCCCCCCCTGCGTGATGGAACGCCCGCTGTGCTGGAACGAATTCGAGGTACTTTGACTTCAACCCCACTCAGAGGCTCTATGGATATTGTAATTCTTATAAATCCTTATAAAATCCGTTTCCCGGCCCATCTTAAACATATGAGACGGCGTGAACCATAAAAATTACGATTCCGTGGTCGCCGGTCGGCCAATTTCAGGGCAGCACTCGGAATGCATCTTTAACGCTGAGATACTATGTCTATGCTACAACGCCACCATCATCGTAGTTTCTTTTCAAAAAGCCATAAACGAATGATCCTAAGTCATATAATCCCGTTGTAATGCTAGAAGTCCTTTATCCAGAGCATGCGTTGTGTTGGAAGCGATCTTAGATATTTCGACCATGCAGGTCGGTAGCTACTAGCAGCCGATCGCACTTCCTCTTTCGGCGACCCATACAGTCATGGGGCTATTATATAATAACTAGTACATTGTAAATTACTATGACCTAACAGGTCTCCCTAATGATGGCCTTGGCAGACTAACGCTCTTGGGTGTCACTAAGTGTCCCTGTGTGAAGGAAACCAGCGTGAACTGTGAAGGCAAGCACCAGACCCAGAACTTGAGAGTCAGCGTAATGTATGAATTTGAACGACCAGCCACATGTCCGAGTTTCTCGATGACTCTCCGTCTGAGACGATCTTAAACAGATGTTAGCCGTATGCATCTTCGACTTATCGACATAATGTGCCAACTACGGTTGACGAAGACATGCACGAGAGAGGATGGAAGAGAGGCGATGCAGACCGTCAGGCTCGACAAGCCACAATCGGTGTCGCTCAGCCTTGTATAATCGAAACCTCCGCAGCCTTGTGCCTAATCACATTGTTCATCGTCGTCTGTCTTGATGTGCCAGCTAACATGTGGTTCGAATTTCCCAGACCAGGCGTCACGATTTCTCGATAACGACGATCTGTCGATTCCTGCGACCAACGATGCGCCTCTTAAAGCTCGACGGCAACGGTGGGTTCAGCCTGGAGACATTCCAAACCACGATCCATCCTTATGCCATACTTTCTCATACGTGGGGAAGCGACAGCGATGAAGTCACATTCAAGGACATCACGGATGGTGCCGGAAAGCAGAAGGTTGGATACCAGAAGCTGGTATTCTGCGGAGGTCAAGCGAAAGCTGACGGTCTATCCTATTTCTGGGTGGACACCTGCTGTATTGACAAATCGAATAGTGCCGAGTTTGCAGAGGCGATTAACTCTATGTTTCTCTGGTACCAGAATGCCGCACGATGTTACGTCTATCTATCCGATGTTTCGGTACGCACGCCGGACGGTCTAGTGTCTCATATCGAATGGGAATCATCCTTTCGCAATAGTCGATGGTTCACACGAGGATGGACGCTCCAAGAGCTTGTCGCTCCGAAAACCGTCGAATTCTATTCCCGAGACTACGTCCGACTAGGTGATAAGAAGTCACTCGAACGAAGCATCTACGATAGAACTGAAGTCGCTATCGAGGCACTCCAAGGCCGTTCGCTTTGTGATTTTAGCATCGAGGAGAGGTTTCGATGGGTTAAGAAGCGACAAACGACTAAAGAGGAGGATATGGCATACTGCCTTCTTGGGATTTTTCAAGTCTTCTTACTGCCTATTTATGGCGAAGGGCGAAAGCATGCAATAAGAAGGCTGCGACGAGAGATCGAGGACTCCGAGCACACCAGCTCGCGTCCATGTAGGACCTTTGATTTCGAATGTGCGTATCTCTTTGCTAATGTGCTCCATTTTATAGCGCGAAAGTTGGCACGTACTATCTCTTTCGACCGCAATCCTCGCTTCACCGGTCGCGAATCCGAGCTTTCTCGAATTGAGAAGCTACTCTTCCGACATGGCCAAACCACGAAGGTCGCAATCACTGGACTTGGGGGGGTGGGGAAGACGCAGTTAGCGATTGAGATAGCCTATCGGATCACGGAGAAACAGAGGGACCGCTCAGTATTTTGGATTCCTGCGACCGATCCTGAAACCCTTCTTCAGGCGTACTCGGCAGTAGCCGAAGAGTTAGATATACCCGGAAGAGATGAGCAAGGAGTAGATGTGAGGCGACTGGTTCAGAAATACCTCAGTGGCGAAGGCGCGGGCCAATGGCTCATGGTGTTTGACAACGCCGACGACATGGATATGTGGGTGGGAAAATCAACCGCTAGGCAATCTATCCGTCTCCTCGACTGCCTTCCAAGGAGCAATAAGGGAAGTATCCTCTTTACGACGCGAGATAGGAAGCTCGCTACTAAGCTAGCGCCTCAGAACTTGGTAGAAGTGCAGGAGATGAACCTAGAGGCGGCTTCGGAGCTCCTGCAGAAATGCCTGAACGGACTCGATATAGCGCCCTACCAAACCGCAACCGAAAACTTGCTTACGCAGCTGACTTACCTTCCGCTCGCCATCGTTCAGGCGGCAGCGTATATTAATGCGAACGGCATCTCGATCGCGGACTATCTTTCCTTACTCGATGAGCAGGACGAGTCTATAATTGAACTTCTAAGCGAAGACTTTGAGGATAACGGCAGATACGATAATATCAAGAACCCAGTGGCCATAACATGGCTAATATCGTTCGAGCGAATTCGGCAGCACGACTCCCTGGCGGCGGACTACTTATCGCTAACAGCATGTGTTGAACCAAAAGAGATCCCACAGTGTCTTTTTCCACCTGGTCCATCTCGTAAGAAGGAGACAGACGCTATCGGGACGCTTCATGCGTATTCATTTCTTAGCAAACATCCGGCCGGACTTACGGTCGATCTTCATCGTTTAGTACATGTAGCTGCTCGTAATTGGCTCCAAGAGAACGATCAACTGGCCCAGTGGACCGAAAAGGCAATTGTGCGACTAGAGGAGATTTTTCCGGATAATACCTACACGAACCGTAGCATATGGAGGGCGTACCTGCCGCACGTGCGCGTTGTGCTGCAGTCTGACTTCGTCCGGAAGGATTCGAAGAGGAGGATAGATCTCCAATGGAGATATGGAACGTGTCTTGACGCCGACGGACGATGGAGTGAGGCAGAGATTGCGTATTCCCAGGTGCTCGAAATAGAAACGGGGTTGCTCGGCACAGAGCATCCAGACACGCTGACCAGCATGGCCAACCTGGCGTCGACGTACCGGAATCAAGGCCGATGGAAGGAGGCCGAAGAGCTGGA